TTGATAGGAAAATGGTCGCCGGCGATCTCACCGTCTCTAGCTACTTCAGTGGCCACTTGTGTAGACGAGTTTTTTATCACTGAATGTCCGCTTCAGATCATGAACTTGCTTGTCTATGTGTTCAGTTTCTATCTTCAATATCGCTGAAGGTTCTATGATGTGATTTTTGTCTTTCTGAAGAGATACTTGTCTCTAAGAATTGCAATACATGTTCAACGATCACTGAATAGACTCAGTGATGATCGCTGAAATTGAATACAAAGATAATACACTTCGTAAGGTTAAAAGGAGTGCATATTATTGACTTGGTAAGATATATTTTTAAGAAACATATTTTTATTTAACATGATCTCCTACATCGACCTTATAACGTCGGGATGCATATTATTGACTTTTTTGTCACGTTTCGCCGATACACTCACGCTCTATTTAACATGATACTCCTACGTCGCCATTATATTTTAAAAGCTTAATAAATAAAATTATATTTATTTTATCGCACGTGCAGGGGCAGGTCTATATAAACACCATATTCACGTCATAGCCAATTCAAAAAGCTTAATCAATGCATTGTAGAGAAATGGCCTCCGGCGATCTCCCCGTCTCCGGCTACAACCAATAGCAACAGTCAGTGGTTTATATATATACATAATATCTTGTACAAATTCTTTACAGGAGCATGAATAACTATCCTGAATACCTCAGTTTCATAACTGTACTTTTCACTTTAGTTATTCAGAAGCTGACTTTGATCCCAACAAGGATGAACCAACTTCGATTTGCTGTCGTCGCATTTACGGTAAATTTTGCTGCGAATTTGGCCCTACAACAAACGTCAAATGGCACCGGTTGTTCGAGGGCTCATCTCCGCTTGTGTGTTTTTCTGACCATATTTTACGTCACCATAATAGTAACTCCGGTGATACTGCTCTTTATTTTAGTCGTAGAGCCGAGCCTTTGGCATCTGATACTGGAATATTTTGATAGCATTTGGTCTTATATTAACAATCTTGTGTTTGGTGAAACCGCAATAGCTACGGCCTTGCCTCCGCCTGAGATCGAGGATTCCGTTTATCGGAGAATCTTCATTGGTGTTTATAGTTTATTGGGCAGGCCAACAGATCCAGTTCTTCCGGTGAGTATGCCTCCTCCGGTGACGGCCAGCTGGTGGAGTTCAGTCACATCTTCCAGCCGTCGTTTTATTGACCTCAAGGTCAGCTCAATGATTCAACTCCTTTTCCTATTTGATGTATTAAATTATCTTGTCATCAATTAAGGATTGAATTACCACCCTTTATCGCCGTATTATCACCGGCAGCACCCCTTCTCCGGCGTCCCTCTTCTTGCATCTCTTTGATATAAAAAGCTTTTGTCTTCGTATGGTGTTGAATTAAAGCTTGGCTTTAATTCACTTCTTGTTTCCAACCAATCATACGACAAGAGAAATCATGAACATGAATAAGAAGTGAGATTGGTGAATTTTATCCCAAAAGTCCCAGCTCTCATTCTTAAGTTGAAGCTGTTGGTTTTATGACCCATCTTAATTACATACATGCATACGTATACAATTAAGATGGAGGTTTACGATGCTGACGGGTTGCAAGTGGGTCCCAATTAACACAATAAAACAGTTAACCTTCTCTTATATTATTTCTTGTGATTGTAACCTGATCTCTCTGGAAGATTGTGTGTTTTTGTTTTGCTTCCGCTATATCCTGATTTGAATGTTTTAGATACATACAATCCAACAATGGTATCAAAGTCACGGTTACAATAATACAAGTACAAAGAAATCGCTCTTTTAGGATTAGAATTTGTTTTTAGGATTTAAATGTCTTAATTCGAAAGTTTCAAAACATAATGTTTCCAATTTTGGAGTTTATGGTTTTAAACTTTAAATTAGTTTTTGTAAAACAAAAGTTTCTATTTTTGGGCATTTAAGGTTTGTAAAACAAAAGTTTCTTGTTATGGAAGTCTAGTGTTTTAAACCATAAAATTGAAATTTTAAAAAATTAAAGTTTCCCTTTTGGGAAAGGTTGTTTAAAAACTTCTTGTATTTTAAAATTAAAGTTTCAGATTCCTTAGAGGTGGCAAAAAAATGACCCAACCCGTTAACTCAACGTGGCAAAAAAATGACCCAACCCGTTAACTCAACCTTGACCCAACCCAAAATTAACAGATTCGTTGAGATTTTCAACTCATTTAAATAAACGGGTCAACATGTCTAACCCATTTAAATAAATGGGATGGGTTGGGTTGGGTTGAATTTTTCAACATGTTTTCAACTAATTTAAATTATCATATAATTTTATTTTATTCTTAATATTATATCTAGTATTCTAATTTTTAATTTTGTTTTATTCTTAAAAATCCTACAGTCGTGAGATGAAAGTCCAAATTTCAATCGTCTTTATTACTATTAATCATCATGAAACCCTAAAAAAAGCTTTTAGTCAATTACTTCATTATCGCCTCCAAAATCCAATCCAACTCTTCAAGTCTGTTGTCCACCTCTCGCTCTCTCGTATAAAACCATGTATTTGCTATAACTAAGTTAATAATATAATTTATTTATGTAGCATAAATGGAATCGCATCTCAAGGCGCTTTGTGAAACAATCATGACAGAGGAGATAGACGATCAAGAAGAAAGGAATAACGAAAGTGAACTTGGGGTTGGTGAAAGTGGAAGTCGAGTTACCTAGAATTTAAAATTTTCCAATTTATTTTGAACAATATATTTGTTTTGTGTGTTTTATTCAAACTTTAAATTATTTGTTTTATATTTGTGGTTGTGTTTTATTTAAACTTTGAATTATTTGTTTATATTTGTGGTTGTGTTGTGTTTTATTCAAGAATATTAAATAGTCTAGTCCGTTTTTTTATTTAAAATTTTAAAATTATAGGGTCAACCCAGGTTCAACCATTTATTTAACAGGCTGGGTTAAGAAAATAATCAAGTCAACCCGCTGTCAACCCATTTAGATAACAGGTTGGGTTGTGTAGAAAAATCTCAACCCATTTAATTAAGTGAATAAATGAGTTGTGTTTGGTTGAGATTTTCCACTTGTTTAATAAATGGGTTGAACCCAACCCAACCTGACCCATTGTCATCTCTAGATTTTAGAGTTTTGTGAAAACTAGAGAATTCAAAAATTTTCAAGAAAAGACCATGAAAACGCTTTCTTTATTTCAATTGTTGAAATTTAGTTAAATGTGTTTTCTCGAACATTTGATCCATTTGTATACTTTATGTTTGGATGGTTTTGGCATGAAACCATACTTACAAAAGTATAAAGTGTGTTTGTATGCTTATTTGTCAAAATTTGATTTTGATAACATTAAAATATTCAAGCAAAGATTGATTTAAATTTAAAGTGTCTAAGTCTATCTATCAATCAATTTTTATCAAAGTGTTAAATATTGCATGGATTTGACACTCCATTGCATTAGATTACAAAGTTTGTGTTTGTATGGATTTGATAATAGTTTGCTTTAGTTAGACTTATATCATGTGACGTTTAGCTTGTGATTTGGTTGTTTGTTTAATCGTTGTAATTTTTGCGCTACCTGCGAGTCATTTTTTCCATGTATTTGTGAAATAGTATAGAGTAGATTAGAAGTTTTTCTATTTATTACGAATTGTAAAAGAAGACCGAACACAACAAACAAGATTCATGCAGATTGAAGTCTTGAAGTGGACCCACTCAAGCATTGAAGAAATGACGAGTTTAGTAGGAGCCGGCACATCATTTTGGATGTTAGTCCCTTAGTCTGACCATGTTTTTCTCGTGGTGGCTCATTGGAAAAACGCATAGGTTTAAGGCAAACGTTATCGTCAGTTGCATGTGGCTGTGTATTATTTATTATCTGTTTTGCAAACTAGATAATTTAAAATATTTTGAAACACAACATAATTGTATTAACGAGTTAATAAAACTTACAAGTGCATTTTGACAGATTAATAAAATTGGTTTTATAGTAAAGTTTTAAAATGGTTAAAATGAAATTTGCTAAAATGAAACGGTTAAAAATGTTTTAACTAAGAAAACAAACCTGGTTTTAAAGTAAATCACACGCTACCCATTTAAGGCACATTTTTGAACTAATAATCTTTCGGTCCGTGGAAGGTGCTAAAGCCAACGCGTCGGCTAGATTTTAGGAATAACGACATTCGCGATATCTGAGAGTCTTGGACGGGAAGTCATGTGTCTTAATATGGTTGATTTACGATTTGGATTCGTGATCCATGGCAAACCAGTCACGAGAAATATGGACCTTAGCCTTGTTAAATTAAATTTGTTACGATTCGCGACCAACCCGTCGTAGCTGAGAGTGAAATATGGACCTTACCCTTGTTAAATTAAATTTGTTTTGAACAATTGGGTAATTACTTTTAACAAGGATTATTTAATTCAAATCACTAAAATAATGTTTTTCTATTTTGATAGATGTCAAACAACGCGAATTCATCGATTTCAAACTTCTATTTGAAAGGGCTTCTCGAAAAGTACAAACTTACGGGCTTGAACTATGTAGACTGGCTTCAAAACCTGAGAATAGTTCTCAGGATGGAAAAGAAGCAGAGCGTCATAGAGGAACCACTCCCTGAGGCACCCGCTGCCGGAGCATCTCGGGGCGATTCGGGATGAGTATGAAAAACGTCTGACCGAATCAATGATGCCGCTTGCCTAATGTTGGCGACCATGGTTCCAGAACTCCAAAAAGGTGTACGATATGATCAACCAGCTTAAGGACATGTTCCAACAGCAAGCTAGGCAAGAGCGGTATGACAACGTCAAGGCTCTGGCAGAATGTAAAATGGCCCCGAGAAGCGACGTTAGTGTACATGTTCTAAAAATGAAATCGTACATTAATGAGTTTGAGCGTTTAGGTTTCCCTATTAGTCAGGAGCTCGCTATAGATTTAATTTTAAGCTCACTGACTAGTTCATATGACTCATTCGTTCTGAACTATAATATGAACATGGAGTAAACAACAATGGAGCTCTATGGCATGCTTAAGACCATAGAGTCTAACATGGCCAAGTCCAAGCACGCTGCTCGAGTACTGGCCATCAGGGAAGGAGGTATAAAGAAGAAAAAGATTGCCCCTGCAAAAGGCAAGGGGAAGGGAAAAACTATTCAACCCAACCCCAAACTCAAATCAAAAGGCCAAAAAAAAGCCCAATCTGATATACCTCAATCAAAGACTCCTGAGGATGTTGTATGCTTTCACTGCAAGGAAGTAGGACATTGGAGGTGTAACTGTCCTAAATATCTGGAGGAGCTTAAGAAGCTCAAGGTTTTACTGAACATGAACTTTAGGTATGTATATGATTGAACTCCATAGTAGTTCAGCTTCTAATTCCTGAGTATTGGATATAGGATGTAGTACTCACATTTGTACTGATATGCATGGACTAAAAAAAAGTAGAAAGGTGAGACGAGGAGAGTTGGACCTGATCATGGAAAACAAGCAAATTTTTGCTTGACACGATAGGAAATTATGAGCTTTCTTTTTCTTCTGGATTATCAATGGTTTTATTTGATTGTTGCTACTCAGCCGATATGACAAGAAACATCATTTCATTTTACGCTTTATATAAATATGGTTTTGATTTTGGGTTTGATAATGGATCTATCCTTGTTTATAAAGATGAAATTCTTTATTTTAAGGCTAACTCATGTCATGGTATTTATGAAACTAGTACAAGTGCAAGAAATAATAGAAGTTCAATCTATAATGCTGAATCGACTCAATCCAAACATGGTTTGGATAAGTCATACCTGTAGCACTGTTGTCTTGGTCACATTAGCAAGAAACGCATCACCAAACTCCGATCGGATGGGATTTTGGAATCGTTCGACCAAACATCAAATGAAGAATGTAATTCTTGTCTTTTGAAAAGATGACGAAGGCCTTGTTTACAGGAACCTGTGAGCGGAACAAGGATCTGTTGGACATAGTACATACTGATGTATGTGGGCCATTCAGATCAGTCACTAGACACGACTAGAGATACTTTGTTACTTTTACTAATGACTTCAGTAGATATGGATATGTTTATTCGATTAAACATAAGTCTGAAACCATCGAGGTGTTCTGGATGTTCCAAAACGAGGTAGAAAATCAACTTAACATGAAGATTAAGACTCTCAGATCCGATAGGGATGGTGGGTATCAGAGTCAAGAGTTCCAAGATCAACATAAAGAGTTGTGGTATAATCTCACAACTTACTTCTCCTAAGACACCACAACATATTGGTTTTGTCAATTATGAAGTGAACTACGCTTACAATCGGTTTTTGGGGCTATGCCTTAGGACTACTGCAAGGGTCCTGAATCTTTTACCAACAAAGAACATTTCCAAAACACCTTCTGAAATATGGAGTGAAAAAGTTCCTTCACTTGCATGTTTAAAAATCTAATATTTTGAGGCTTGCGTATGTCGTGAAGTTCAAGATAAACTAGAACCCAGATCAGAGAGGTGTTATTTTGTTGGATACCCAACTGATTCTTCTGGATATTTATTCTATAAACCTTCAGAAAACAAAGTGTTTGTTGCTCGAATTGCTATCTTCCTTGAAAGGAAACTGATGTTTAAAAGGGCTAATGGGAGTTGAAATGATCTTGAAGAAACTAAAAGGTCAAGAAACATGGAATATGACGTTGGCACTAGTTCTTAGCAAAAAATTGTAGAACCTATAGTTGTTGAGCCTCAACAAAGAGTTACCGAGGAATCTGACATCCAGCCTCCACATGTTCACAGTCTGATTGAGTCCGTCATGCACCAGAAAGATATAATTTACTCATATCTGATGGTGATGATACACATGTAGATCTTGATGAGCCTATCATTTACCATGAAGCCATGACGACCCTAAGGCCGCTAAATGAAAGGAGGCTATGGAGAGCGAGATGCAATCCATGTATAAAAATCAAGTATGGAACTTGGTTGATCATACACCGAGTCAAAAAATAGTGGGATGTAAATGGGTCTTCAAGAAGAAGACCAATATGGATGGAAAAGTACACACGTACAAAGCCAGATTTATGGCGAAGGGATACACGCAAACTCATGGTGTAAACTATGATGAAACCTTCTCACCAGTGGCTATTTTGAAATCCATCAGGATACTCATTGCCATAGAAGCATTTTATGATGTTGATCCTCTATCTCATTGATTTGATGATAATCCTTTTTACCTTATATGAAGTATTTATGTTTTTGTCTTTCAGTTACAACGATCATCGCTGACTCTCTTCAGTGATCGCTGAGAACATGCATTGTAAATCCATCAGCGACATCGATATTTCAAGAAGAAAAAACTCACATCAAAGAACCTTCAGCAAAAGTCGAAGACTGAAACTGAAGATTAGAGACTGGTGAGTACGTGATCAGAAGCGGTATTCAGTGATTACAACCTTGTCTATATATGTGTGAAGACTGTCCAAGCCTCAGCGAATGCTGAAGAGACCTTCAGGTTATTCCAGAATTCAGTGATCAAAAGAAGCCTGTTGAACACGATTGTTTTTGTCTTGTCCTTATACACACAAAGGATAAACCCATACCCTTTCTAAAAGATAGTACGGTACGGAGCCGACTAGTTGACTCTACTACCCACCAACTCTGTGAAAGGATGTCTGCTCATGAATAGGGTTTTGTACTATTCACTATAGCAAGACAATTCCTTCTCTAAAGGCTTGACACGCTTTCTAACCCTACCACATTGCATTAAATGTGCATTTAATGCAATGTGTATAAATAGATTTGTTCTATCTCCATGCATAGATACTTCTACTCTCTTACTTCTTACTCTGAACTTACTTACACTTAAGTAAAAGAACACACATATCTAAGAACACAATTCACTCATATTCAAGAGCAAGTTAGAATCTCTTTATTATATTCTAAATAGTTCTCTCCCAGGTAGAACTTACTTTCTTCTAAGTCTTTAACATCAAATATTTTCTTCATTTGCTAAGAACTAGTGTCTAACTTTAGATTGTTTAGATAGGTTTTATTTACCTTATCTTTCCGCAAAAAATCTTGTAAAATCTGCATTGATCCTTCTTTATCAATATATATATATATATATATATATTAAATTTGAAAAGTTTACTGTGTTTGTATTCATCCCCCCTTCTACAAACTGTTATACACATCTTGTAGACCCTAACAGGAAGAGGTGCTATGACAATGGATTTACCCTTGTCTTTGCAACCTGAACTCGAAGAAGTTCCATCAAGATGACTCTCAACGAAAGAAGACTGAGAGAAAGAAATGTCAGGAATAGAAGAGACAAAGGTATCAAACTTGAGCATGGACCTGTCAGTGGCACTGTCTTCCTGATCATAGGAGAATCCTAGACCAGTATTTATCTTGGCAGGGATCTGAGCATTAATGATCTCCGAGGCCATGATAGAGGCTTTGCATCATCCTTCTATGGTAGCCTTCTCCGCCTTGAGTTCAGCAATTGCTTGCTCACGCTCAGCTATAGCCTGTTCGTGTTCGACATTAATGGTTTGGTTCACAATCACCTGATCCTTAAGATTTTCTTCAACCTTAATCAGCTCTTTGATCTTTGAATGATAAATATTCAACTGTTCTTGAAGATCAAGATTAAGCATTTCTGCTTTAGACTTGCCATTCAGGGCATTGTAAAGGTCTACAATCAGCGTGTCTAATGCTGATAGGCTAGAAGAAGAAGAAGAAGAAGAAGAAGAAGAAGAAGAAGAAGAAGAAGAAGAAGAAGAAGATGATGATGAAGAAGAAGAAGAAGAAGAAGAAGAAGGGGGTTCATTCAGGAGACATACCTGAGTAGGTGAGGATAATGAAGGATTATTGGAAGTTGATGTCTTTGAAGCTTCTGCTTTGACAACTTTGGCCATTAGGCAGAGATAGGCCGTATCTTCCTTATCAGATAAATCAGCCTAGTCGTGCTCTTCAGCGACAAGACCTTTGGCCTTTCGCTGGAAGTTCTTCATCTTCTTGTACTTCTCTTTCAGCTTCAGGTATTTGTCATCCTTAGATTTGAAGGAGGATAGGGTTTTAGAAGATGGCGTCACAACCTTCTTAGACCTGCATTCACCAGCAAAGTGACCCTTGCAGTGACAGTTTTAGCACATCGCTAAAGCCTTGTCTATATTATCAAACTTTGGCTTTTCCTTGATGGTCAGCAAAGGAGATCTACGAAAGTTACTTTTTTTGGCGAATCTCCTAAAAGATTTAGCTAAAAGCACAAGTGATTCATCAAAATCTACAAGATCAGATTATGATAAATCCTCATAGTTAGTAGAATCTAACTCAGTGATAATAACAGGAGGAAGAGAAGAAGAAGAAGATGGGAGTTCAGCTGAAGCATCTTCAGAGATTAGAGCTAACGAAGAGCTCTTCATTTCTCTGGAATCCTTTATTAGATTCCTTTTCAGCTGTCGAAATTGCTCATGATTAAGTAGTATCCCATAAAGAGTGCTGAGAGAGAGAGAGAGAGAGGACATGTCATTGGACATCTTGAGACACATGGAATAAGTATCCCAAGACTCAGGCAAACATTCTAGAAACTTCGTTAAAGTTTCAGAATTAGAATATTCCCTGCCTACAGTYCTTAAATCTATAAGAAGACAATTAAAACGTTGATGTACTTTAGACAATGTTTTAGTCTTTCCACAGAGAAAGCTTTCATATTGTCTTACTAAATTAATCTTCCTCGATTCTTGAACCTGAGAGGTTCCTTCATATTGAACACATAAAGTGTCCCACATGGCTTCCGAGGTTCTGAGTTTCATAACAGAATGATAAACCTYATCAGGAAGAGACATAGCTATTATAGACCTAACACAAGTGTTTATAGTTATCTTCTTCTTATTTTCATCGCTCCATTGATGATGGAGCTTTGGTATCTGTCGTTCAGTAATCGCGATAGTCGTAGATGTTTCAGGAACAACCGGAGAAATAGCATATGGAACATATGGTCCATTTTCTATATAATATGGAATTTCAGGATCCACACCTTCCAAAAAGAGGGACATCTGATTTTTCCAAAGACTAAAGTTGTCTCGGATAAAACGAGGTGGTTTGGCAAGAGAGTCATTATCATGAAAGTGTGTGTTTGTGTTTTGTAAAGCCATTTGAAAGAAGTAAGATTATCTAGAGAAAAAGATAATATAATGCAGAAAAACAACTAAACAACAAGAATAGAGAATACACTGCTCTTATATCACTTGTTGGTCCCGTTAGGGTCTACAAGATGTGTATAACAGTTTGTAGAAGGGGGGATGAATACAAACACAGTAAACTTTTCAAATTTAAAATATATATTGATAAAGAAGGATCAATACAAATTTTACAAGATTGTTTGCGGAAAGATAAGGTAAATATAACATATCTAAACAATCTAAGTTACACACTAGTTCTTAGCAAAGAGAAATGATTTGCTATAAGAGACTTAGAAGGAAGTTAGTTCTTTCTGGGTAAGAACTATTTAGAATACTAAATATGGATTATAACTTGCTTTTGAAGATAAGCGTATTGTGTTCTTAGATATGTGTTCTTTCACGTATAAACGTAAGTTAGGGTTCAAGAGATATATATGCATGGAGATAGAACATATCTATTTATATCCATTGTATTAAATACACATTTAATGCAATGTAGTATGGTTTGAACACGTGTCGAGTCTTTAGAGAAAGACTTGTCTTTTGCTACAGTGAATAGTACAAAAGCCTATTCATGAGCAGACATCCTTTCATAAAGTTGGTGGGTAGTAGAGTCAACTAATCGGCTCCGTACCATACTATACTTTAGAAAGGGAATGGGTTTGTTATTTGTGTGTATAAGAACAGGACAAAAGCAATCATGCTTAACATTTGATCGCTGAATGCTGGAATAACCTGAAGGTCTCTTCAGCATTCGATGAGGCTTGGGAAGTCTTCACACGTGTGTAGACCAGGTTGTAATCACAGAATACCGCTTCAGATCACGTACTCACCAGTCTCTAATCTTCAGTTTCAGTCTTCGACTTCGCTGAAGGTTCTTTGGTGTGAGTTTTGTCTTCTTGAAGTATCGCCGTCGCTGATAGATTTACATTACATGTTCTCAGCGATCACTTGTGACACCCATAAATTTCATTCCCAACTCTGTGCGCGTCAAAGAAAAAATTTGAAGATTTATTCAAGGTCCGCGTCTCTTTTTCTTTTACTTAGTCTATATTTACAAAACACATTACATTATGTATTTTTTTTCTTTTGCTTTCAGGTATAGGAGTATAAGTACATATATATATATATATATATATATATAGGTATATTTTTATATTAAGTTGTTGGTGTCAGGGGAATCCTTTTGAAAATCTTGGAAGGATAATTTAGTAGAATATTAGGGGTGGAGTACCTGCAATGCTATCCTACTCTAGTGTCTCACTTTTTCTCTTCCTAGAGGTCTTCCCTTTTCCATGGAGGACCTTGACCTCCATGCAATGGATGAGATTTGGGATCTCAATGAGAAAGGGGGGGGGGCAGTAGGATCAGGGAATAAAGAAAAGAAGGAAAAGGGGAGGAGTTGGCACATCTCCTTTGCTGGAACTGAAGAAGCTAACCCCTTAAACACTCTTAGACCGGGCTGTTCGGAGGAAATGTGGACAAACCACCGTCGCCGGAGCTACGACCAGTATCTTTAGGTACAGCCTGAGCCTTCCCCGCTTCACAGCCGACCGGTCTACCTGCTTCCTCGTTTCCATAGCACCGCAGGCCTCGAGCAGCAACAGCAAGCAGCAAGCTGCTGCCTGCGTTCTCCTCGACCAGCAACAGCAGCAGCAGGAGGCGAAGCTGCTGCCTACGTTCTCCTCGACCAGCAACAGCAGCAGCAGGAGGCGAAGCTGCTGCCTGCGTTCTCCTCTACCAGCAACAGCAGCAACAGGAGGCGAAGCTGCTGCCTGCGTTTTACCTCGTTCAACAACAGCAACAGCAAGGAAGGGGAGCTACCTGCGTGCTTTCTGCCGGAGCCAAACAGCAAACAGCACACAACAGGCAACAGCCTTGCTGTGCTGTTTCTTCACGTCCTGCTGCCCAAAGAAAACAGCAGCTTGTTGGGCCTTTTCCTTCGTCTGTTCCGCCCAAAAACAACACTTTGCCGAGCTGTTTTCTTCGTGCTGTTTCTCCGCCTGTTTTCGTCAAGCACCAGCTGGGTACGATTTCCTTCATCAAACTTCGCCCAAACAGCAGTCCTTGTTGTGTTTCACCCATCAAAAAATGACAACAGCAGACAACAGTCCTTGTTGTGGTGTTTCTTCGTAGCCCTTGTCGAGCAACTGTCACAGCTGCGCCGCGTAAATCTGCATCAATCCGGAGTTCGGGATTTATCTTAATCCCTGCAATGTGAGTTCATATTAACTTTTCTAGGAATGTTTACACTATTATACGTAAGTTTGTACCTATCCTATGCCTAAATTTCTTATATATACTTATTTATATGAAATGAAGGTTAATAGGTCAAAGGGATAAACTTGGGTATCCTGTTTATTTTGATAAGTTGAGTTTAGTGAAATGGTTAAGATTACTTGGTAAGGTACTCATCCTCAAAGTGTTTCTGACCATCAAACTTTAAAACCCTCATACCCTAGTTTGAAGCCCTTGTTCGGTAAGAAAAGGGGGGGGGGGGTAAATTCGCTTGTGTTGGGACACATACAAATCTTATTGTTAAGTAAGTATTATACTGCTTATGATATTGTATTCAAGCATTTCAGTAGAAAATAATGGGTTTGAAAGCATGAAACTCATTTCATTGTTTTGGTGTGAAGGATGATGTAAKTTGGATTTAGACATTGTGTTTATCATGTAATTTCGAAATCACCTTCTCACTCCCACTCGGAAATAGGCATTGTGATTATTATGTAATTTCCGAGATAAAGAGCTTAAGATCACGGCCGACTACATGACTGGTTTAGRTTGATGTCGATGGTATTAATCCAATAAGTGATGCTCTATAACGTTGATCTATRACTTACTTTGTGTTCGGTCATAGATAACGGTAAATCRGGYCTCCCYCGTCATCTTCGGATGTTCTGACTCCTCCCCATGAAAATCTAGAATTTATTATTCCTCCTTGTATCGTTTAAAACTACGTCATTTACATTTATGTATGCACACATGCATAATGGGTTGTGGTTCATTTTTTTTGTACTATTTGGACTCACTAGGCGTAAAGCCTAACTCTTTTTCTTGAAATGATTTGTTTGTCAGGTTCTTTTAGCGGCGGGACTTCTAAGGGTTGAGAGGAGCGTTGTCTCGAAAAAAAAGACTTTTGTGTAGTTTAAGCTTTTGGTATTTCATAGCGTTGCTATTTTTGATGTTACGACTTTTGTTTGAGCCGATAGAAACACCCGTCTTTAATCTAGTCATAACATTGTTTAGATTAGTAGGTTGTTATCCATCGCCTCTTTAATTGTTATGTAAACGCTACACTATTCCCCTTTTGTTGGGTGACCCTTTTACCATTCCATAGTATCCGTTTTGTATTTTTGGGTTCGACTTACCTCCTACCTTATTGTTTCTTTTAAATTTTTTTTAGGGTGTTACAAGTTGGTATCAGAGCTTTAACTTAAGCGAACTAGGTATAAGATTAAGATGCCTACTTAAGTTGAATTTGTAGATGTTAATTTTGTGCGTTGTGGGTAGATCTCTTGTGGTGATGGTGTTGAGGATCCTTATGTATAACCTGTTCAACATTCCACCTAGCTAATGTTATTTTGAGTGAGTTGTTACATAAGCATGTTTGGACTTACTGTTGTTACAAAATTAATGATTGTGCTGGTACCGTATTATGTTGATCCTATATTTTATTTCCCTATCCTAACTCTCTGCCACTCTCTTGCATAGCAGACTTTATGGTGAACACTCGAAGTAGACGGGATACCTCACCGGAGGGTCACGCGGTTACTGAGTCTATCGCGGATCAACTGCCACGAGCCACCTTTGCAAGGGTTCATCCTAGGCAAGATACTTTGGGGGTGGAGTGGAGCAGGTCCCCCAACTCGACCTTGCCACCCCTAACCCCATAATGGAAGAAAAAACCCCGGAATCAAGAATGATGGGCACAATGATGAACGCCATGAACAGAGCTATGGCCCAACAACAAGAGTTCTTTATGAAGTTGTTGGAGGATAGGGATACTAACAACCGAAAGCATGAAGCAGTTGCCGAGAATATAACTATTGGAGGATCTGGGGGTACCAGAAATGGAATCCCAACCCAGGAATTAGCAACGATTGAGGCAAGACAAGTGGGTAGGGTTTGCTCCTACAAGACGTTTCTGAGTTGCAAACCGTCGAAATTCGTGGGGTCAGATGATCCCGTAGCATGCATGAACTGGCTGCGGGAGATCGAGCAAGCCTTCCACGCTTGTGACTGCGATGAGGGACAAATGGCGAAATTTGGCTCTCAAATGCTAAGGGGTGCAGCCCTTACGTGGTGGAACATTGTCATATCGACCGTAGAGGTTACGGAATTAGCCAAGATGAGTTGGGCCACGTTTAAGGGAAAGGTGTTGGAGAAATATTGCATTGAGCAGGAGATGGACCGTTCGAAGAAGAGTTCCAAACCTTAAAGAAGGGAAACTTGTCTGTGAGGGACTACACACGACTCTTTATGGAAAAACTAAATTTGGTGGGGCATGTGGCCCCAACGGAGAAAGAAAAGATAAAGGCTTATCTAAAAGGGTTGCCCGCCGACATGATGGTAATGGTCAGGAATTCCAGAGCCTCTACCCTTAGAGAGGCAATCGAAGAGGCAAAGATCATGGAGTCAGTGTACAACAAAGGGAGAGAAGAGAAAGCGGCTAGCAGTGAAAAAAGGAAGTGGGAAGGTCACCATGCACCTTCCAAGAGACCAAACCATCTCAACAACAACAATCGTGGAGCCTATCCTAGACATGAGGCCAAGTGGTGTTCCAAATGCCGCACTAAGAACTATGGCTCGTGCACCACCAACTCTACTCCCGCAAAATGTTTTAAATATGGGAAGTCAGGCCACATGCGAAATGAGTGTCCTATCAAAGGACCCATCTGTTTTGGATGCGGAAAACCGCGTCATTTCAAGAATGACTGTCCGAAGATGAAGGCAGGAGGGGGCCAGGGAAGGAAAGAAAATACCCCGAGAGCGACCGGCCGAGCCTTTCAGATGACTGCGGAGGAAGCCAAGGCATCAACGGACGTAGTGTCGGGTACGTTCCTTGTTAACTTCGTACCTGCACATGTGCTTTTTGATTCGGGTGTTTCATGTTCTTTTGTATCCAATACATTTTATCAACATTTGCACATGCCTCCTAGCGCACTAGAAGATGCCCTGATCGTAGAGATAGCGAATGGTAACAGAGTTCTAGTGCGTGAGATTGTTAGGGGTTGTGTTTTGGAAATCGAGGGAAAGGAATTTAAGGTAAATCTAATACCCATGTCTATCGGTGGTTTTGACATTATAATTGGAATGGATTGGTTAGTAAAGAACCAAGTGGAAATCTTATGTTCTAAGAAATTGATTCGAATTCATTTACCGGACGGGGGCGCAATGATAGTTTACGGAGAAAGAAAACAGGGAAATGTAATGCTCATATCCGTGGCAAAGGTGCGCAAATGCCTAGCTAAAGGGTGTCCCTCGTTCATCGCTTATGTGTTGGATGGTCAAACTAGAAAAGAGAAGGATTGAAGACATGAATGTGGTTAGAGAATTTCATGACGTATTTCCAGAAGATTTACTCGGTTTGCCACCCAATAGGCAAGTGGAGTTCCGGATTGACCTTATTCCGGGAACTGCTCCGATTGCTAGGGCCCCGTACCGTTTGGTGCCATCTGAAATGCAAGAGTTGATGTCACAATTGCAAGACCTTCTTGAGAAAGGATTTGTTAGACCGAGTTCGTCACCGTGGGGAGCCCCAATCTTATTTGTAAAGAAGAAGGACGGCACCATGAGGATGTGTATTGATTACAGAGAACTCAATAAGGCCACCGTGAATAACAAATATCCTCTTCCCAGAATCGATGACCTTTTTAATCAACTCCAAGGACCCAGTTGCTTCTCAAAGATCGATCTTCGTTCCGTGTATCACTAGGTGCGGGTGAAAGAAGATGATGTGGCAAAGACGGCTTTTAGAACGCGGTATAGGCACTATGAATTCTTGGTCATGCCCTTCGGTTTGACGAATGCACCGGCGGTATTCATGGACTTGATGAATCGGGTGTGCCAACCGTTCCTCGACAAGTCTGTAATAGTGTTCATTGATGACATACTCATTTATTCCAAGGACGAATCGGATCATGAGCAACACCTTCGGGAAGTCCTCGAAATGCTAAGAAAGGAGAAGTTGTACGCAAAATTCTCCAAGTGCGACTTTTGGTTGAAGGAGGTTCAATTCTTGGGTCACGTTGTCACTCGGGACGGGGTGAAGGTAGATCCATCCAAGATCGAAGCGATTATAAATTGGGAACCACCAAAGAGTCCTTCGGAAATTCGTAGTTTCTTGGGTCTGGCGGGTTATTACAGAAGATTTATCCAAGATTTCTCCAAAGCCGCTTCTTCCTTAACGACGCTGACGAGGAAGAATGTGAAGTTTATTTGGACTGAGAAACAAGAGCATGCCTTCAGAACTCTCCAAAAGAAATTATGTGAAGCTCTGATTCTCTCCTTACCAAGTGGGTCTGAGGACTTCGTAGTCTTCAGCGACGCCTCAAAAATGGGGTTGGGTTGTGTCTTGATGCAAAGGGGAAAGGTGATTGCCTATGCATCGAGACAACTCAAAGATCACGAGAAGAGTTATCCCACTCACGATTTGGAACTAGCAGCGGTGGTGTTCGCATTAAAACTTTGGCGACATTACCTTTATGGTACCAAGTGCATGCTTTTCACTGATCACAAGAGTTTGAAGTACATTTTCGATCAAAAAGAATTAAACATGAGGCAATGACGATGGCTCGAATTACTCAAAGACTACGATTGTGAATTGCTATACCATCCGGGTAAGGCAAATGTAGTAGCAGATGCTTTGAATCGAAAAGAGTACGGTAGTGGGACGAAAGCTGTACTTACCAGAATCGATATAATGTCAAGTCTGATTGATCGAATCAAGGTGGCGCAATCTGAAGCAATCCTAGAAGAAAACCTCAAGAGTGAGGTAATGATGAAACAACGTTTACTACTGACAGAAGATGGTCGTGGCTTGAAGTTGTTTCATGGGCGTATATGGGTGCCCAAGATAGGAAGCAATCGTGAACTATTACTAGAGGATGCGCACAAGTCTAAATACTCCATTCATCCGGGTAGCACCAAGATGTATCGGGACTTGAAATTGATATATTGGTGGCCTGTCATGAAACTGGATGTAGCTCGCTATGTAGAGAGGTGTGTGACTTGTTTGCAGGTGAAAGCGGAACACCAACGACCTTATGGTAGCCTTCAGTCCTTGGAGATTCCCGAATGGAAGTGGGAACACTTTACAATAGATTTCGTGACCAAACTGCCGAAAACTTTAAAAGGTCATGATATGATATAGGTAATGGTTGATCGACTGACAAAGAGCGCTCACTTCTTGGCTATGCGTGAATCGTTACCCATAGACAAGTTTGCCAAGTTATACATCGACGAAGTAGTCTCGAGGCACGGTATACCGTTGTCAATAGTGTCAGATCGAGATAGCCGATTCACCTCCCATTTCTGGGGTGGCTTACAAAAAGAATTAGGCACGAGAGTAAAGTTGAGCACGGCTTACCATCCTCAAACAGATGGTCAGAGCGAGCGAACCATTCAAACTCTTGAGGACATGCTTAGGTCGTGAGTTATTGACTTTGGCGGAAATTGGGATTCACACCTACCCCTAGTAGAATTCGCCTACAACAATAGTTATCATTCCAGTATCGGAATGGCACCTTTTGAGGCCTTGTACGGACGAAAATGTAGGACTCCGGTATGTTGGTTAGAAGTGGGTGAGAAACAATTCGCCAGTCCCGAGATCATGCTGGAAACGGCCAACAAGGTGAAGTGTATTCGAGAACGCTTAAAGGCGGCACAGGATCGACAAAAGAGCTACTCAGACAAGAAGAGCCGACCAATAGAATTTCAAGTAGGCGACTGTGTAATGTTAAATGTGTCTCCATGGAAGGGTATTATCCGTTTTGGAAAGCGTGGGAAGCTAAGCCCCCGTTTCCTTGGACCGTTTAAAGTCTTGGCTAGGGTGGGACTTCAAGCTTACAAATTAGAACTACCACCGAAAATGGCAAGAATCCACAACACATTCCATGTGTGTTACCTTCGTAAATGCTTAGCGGAAGAAGAAAGTGTGATCCCACTTTCGGAGATTCGTGTGGATGAAAACAATAGGTGTGTTGAAGAACCAGAAGCCATCTTAGAAAGGAAGATCAAATTGTTGAGGCACAAAAAAATTGTCATGGTTAAAGTGCAGTGGAAACACCATCGAGGATCAAACGTGACATAGGAAGCGGAAGAAGACTTGAAAAGGCGTTATCCCCATCTCTTCGCGTGATGTTAGAATTTCGAGGACGAAATTTGATCCAAGGTGGGGAGAATTGTGACACCCATAAATTTCTTTCCCAACTCTGTGCGCGTCAAAGAAAAAATTTGAAGATTTATTCAAGGTCCGCGTCTCTTTTTCTTTTACTTAGTCTATATTTACAGAACACCTTACATTATGTAATTTTTTTTTCTTTTGCTTTCAGGTATAGGAGTATAAGTACACATATTTATATATAGGGTAAAATGCACAAAATAGCAATCTACTTTCATAAATTTTTTTATTATAGCATTGTACTTTCAGTTTTTCTTATTACAGCAATGTACTTTCAAACTATTTTTTATTAAGACATTGTACTTTGAAAAATTTACCCATTATAGCATTGGGTAACCTTTTGATTTAAATTTACCCATTATACTAGGTTT